CACATGTGTCTTTGGCCGATCCTACCGGTATACAATAGGATGTATATACATCGAACAATCCGTAGGTAGCCTCTGCTGAGGGTTGCATGCTTGACCCAGCAGCCAGCGCATCCAACAGTCGGATGCCTTCAGGATGTCATGTACGGTGGGCTTCAGGCCCTGCATGGCACAACAAGGCTTCCTCGACGTGGTCATATCACATTTCCCGAATTTTCCTTGACCCCACCCCTTCAACCCTCTCTCTCCTCGCAGGGCACCACCCAGTGGTTGACCATCTACACGGCGACACCAGCGGACGTGCTGACGTGCCCCGGGTGGAACTACTTTGAGGCACCACCTGAGACGGTGCAGACCCAGATGGCGCTGGATGCCTACAAGGCGGATGAAGTGGTTGCCGTGAAGGTCAACGTGAATGGCACAGATGTGGCAGACAAAACCGAGCTGCCGGTGGTGGCATCTCTTGGTCTTCACCTCTACGATGACTATGTGATCTCCGGTTCCTCAGGACCCAGCCCACCACCGCTGCCCCCAAGGTCTCCCCGACCCCCAAGCCCACCGCCTCCGCTCGCCCTAGCTTCGTCAACCAATCGCAGGCTTACCTCATCGCTGACGCCGACATCACCTTCAAAGTCCACGCACTCATGGCATCTCCATCCTCCTTCTTCCCCAGCACCGGACGTCATGGTTTGGGCAACCTCTGCAACCTGCTATGTAGGTCGTCGCGTTAAGGCGGTCAAAGCACGTTGTCGCCCTGTATGTTGCTGGGTCCAACTACTTTGCCATTTGGTCCCATGTACGCAGGAAGACAGCACAATGTCGGGCACCATAATGAAGCGCATGGTGGGACCTCCTAGTGCCAAAGTCCTCGCCATCAAGGCATGCAAGGCAACGTCAACATTGGGCTGGGTTCCATCTATGAAGGTAAGGCGCTGGGGTAGATGGAGATACTGCTAGGAGGACAATGACGTGAGGGGAAAAAAAGAAATTCCAAAGTGTGGTGTGATAATGACGTGAGGGGAGGGGATCTGAAACCTGAGGGTTCAATTAACACCCAGGGAAATGGCTGCCCAAATAATGTCGGTGAGAACGAAATGACTTTTGGAGTACCGGTATCGTTACGGGCTACAAAGCGGTTGGCAAAAATCACCGGTTATTGCTGTGCCTGTGGCGTGTTAATGAAGCAGCCCGGCGTACTCCGTCTACATCAATGCACATGCACCTGACATCTTAATCCCCTCGCTCGCTTTCCGTGCCATGCAGAATCCTAGCTATGCTGTAGTCAACTTCGACGTTAGCCCTCTCATTATTGCCAACCATGTGGAGAGTGTTGATGTGTACCTGCTTAGCCGCGGCATTCCAAACCACGGCATTACCTCTATCGACATCCAGTTGATGGCAACTGCCCAGGTGCGTGGAAACCCTTGCATCCCATCGTCAAATGCTCCACACTGCTGACATGACAGCTAAACCGTGGGTCCTTGCTTCAAAGCAACACGCTCACTAAGCGTTAATGACAATGGGGATGGGAACTGAAGCTTTCTGGGCCTTTACTAAGATCGTGCCCCTTGCCACCGCCGCTGGTATACCCCACACAGGGAGTGAGTCATTGGACAACCATTTACACAGCCAGTGCGGCAGATCGCCTCGTATGCCCGGGAATTAATCGCTTTCCTGTGAAGGGCAGCGCCGTGCAGTTGTCCATTACACACCAGCAGGAAATCGATGCTGCTCGGGTGGCGGCTGTGAGGATAAACGTAAACGGCATCGGCGTTGCTGACAGGAGCCAATTGCCAATTGTAGCCGCTGTCGGGCTCAATCTTGGCGGTGGCGCCGCTGTCTAATTCACTACCGCCGAAAAAGGCGGAGCCTCTCTAATCCGTCTTAGTGCGTCGATGACGTCAGTTATACGTTAGGGTTGTAAGTTTTTGCCATTTTGGTTTCTAACGATTGACCCAGTTATAAGGGATTGACCCAGTTAATGCGCTTGCAGAAGGCGCCTGCTTACGTGCTTTCACCCGGTTTCAGGTTGTACTCACTGAGCGGCATTTTGTCTCTGGAACTGCCGACAGAAACGATGCAGTCATAGCTGCATTGGGGCAAGTCGCGTTCTTTTGACAGATTTGTCAGCAACATACAGGCTGGACGTCAGGAAACATGCCCATGTGTTGTGTGTTGTGTTGTGTTGTGTTGTGTGTGTTAACGTACGTTATCTTGAGTCTCTCCGGCGGGAGTACTTGTTGGTTATTGTTTGATCTTTTTTGTATGTCCTGTGCTTACCATCCTCATAATTGAGTGCTTTGGCGTGTATAATTGCAGGATACAGTCGTTGCAGGACGCAGTCGTATTTCCCTTTGTATTTCCGTGTCCTCAGCAGAACCGATGCTGCTGCTGGGAGACAAGCGTCGGTGCGCATGCAGCAGCCATTACTATATAGGAGTGGGGGAATAGTGTGAAGGTAACTGCGTACGTTGGTTTCAGAGAACCGTAAATGATCCGGGCGCTTACCCGGCTGAACATGGCGGTATAAATGTATGTAGACCGTTGGAATTGCTCTGTCAGCTACTTTAGCCTAAGATGAGGAAGTTGCAAAAGCAGTTTGGTTGTGGTCGGATAAAGACGCTTTAGCGAACATGATTGTTTGAACATGAAAGACCGTTACAATGGTGCCCTAAAAAGGAACACGGGTGATGATTGTTTTGCTGCTGCGAACGTGTTTGTTACAATTCCTGCTTAATGATTTGTATGCGTTTGATAGCTTTGCGGTCTACTTTAGAGGGTTTGACCCAAGGGTCGGTCGGTAGGCCTCCGAAACCCTGTACGGGAAGCCGTACGAAGGTGTCGAATGGCCTCTGGAAGGTTCCAAATGACGTTGACAGCTTCTAGTAGCTGCCATAGTAGCTTTTGGCAGGTCTTGCCGTACAATTGTCGTACTATATGTCGTACATTTTCATTTGTATAAGAGGCTGGGTTTTGTGGTATTTTAGTTAACCAGTCCAACACCTGACCCAGGTCGGGTAGGCAGACGGTTCCGGCAAAGTCAAGGCCAAGCAAGACACTTTCTCTCCTCTCAACAAGGGTCGCACCACCAGGGCCCTTCATGCTCGCACGTCTGGATGGAAGGTCAGCAACAGCCCCTTCCCTCTTTCGCAGCCTCAGTCGCTCAAGCGAGCTGACACCTTCGCGCAGCTTCCTTTGTCGTAGCGGACTCAACGGAAAACGGAACGCAAAGTAGCACCATTAAGCGCATGCAGCCGTTGGGCAGTTTGCTTTGCATAAATGCAGGCAGGTCAAAGGCGAATCCTGGCTAAAGTCGCAAAAAGGCTAATTGTACTGCATTGCAGCTAGCAAACAGCTTAACAGCAGCTCCTCCCATGACAACAGGTAGCATTTGGCATACGCTTCAACACGAAGTTAACATGAGGCATACCTACGGCGACTGCGGAAGACCTAAGCTTTAGCATTGACGTCACCAACATGCGCTCAACAAGTGAAGTCTCTTTCCCGACCACACAACACTGGCAAAATTCAGTCTACAAGTGGCTGCGAAGTATATATCCAGTTGCAACAGTACCTTGCATGCATAAGACCTGCACTTGAGCACGGAGCCATGGACGCCATGCCAACAAAAAATAGCAACAAAGCGACAATCCAGAGAAACAACGGCAAAAATCCATAAGATGCAAACAATGAAAGCTAAGCGTATAACAACTCCCAAGGAATTGCAACAACAGGGCACTTAAAGCAAGGGGAATGGGGGAATGGTGCAAGATCAGGTCAGAGGCAACGTATTTCGAGAGGAAACGTTTTGCCCTTGATGCACCGGAGGCGTCTGCAAGGTAGCACCATGTTTACATTGCATGTAAGGGGGGATGGGGGTATGGGGGAAGGGGCACCAGCCCCTTCCCCCACCAAGATGCATACGGTGCCAGGGGAGACAAGCGCTCCACAGACGGCTGCGACACTCCACGCTAGTTTGTACTTGTGCCCCTGCCTGCCACTGGGTCACGAAATCACGTGCAGTACAATAACCCTAAAGGCTTTGCCTATAGAAGTACTCTTTTGAAGGAACTGTTGGATTGGGGACTGCAATGTTGGCGACCATGTTAGGGACCCATTTGCCAAAGTGCAAGCAGGCATCGCAAAGCTAGCGCCACTCAATAGGCTTATGCTCAGTGTAAGGGCGGGGGGGCGGGCCATGTACGTTTTTGCACCTGAGGCGAACCGCCCATTGAGCAGCGAACGCGTTTGGAGCCGCTGGGGCCCAGCATAACTACATCATCGCGTCAAAGTATTCAGGACACGGCATGAAGGCAACCGGTGGTTTCCTTTACCTCACTGGCGCGAGTTGAGCAGTCGAATACTGGACTCCCAAAAATGATAACACCCTCGGGGGGGGGGGGGGGACTACAGCCCCTTTGCCTGTGCCGTCTCGCCCGTTCACAGCTGCACCACATCTCTAAGTACGCCTCGGGTGGTTGCATGTTGGTAAGGCCAAGCGCAGCACCGCTGCCAATTGGTAACGCCGCGCCATAGTTGCCATCTTCGTCCTCGCCATCGCCTTCAGTCTGGTCTGCTTCTTCAGCAATGTCATCCAGCCCATTGCAGTGATCGTCGTCCTCATCGCCAGAAGACCAGGACAAAAGATCGCCTTCGCTGCTGCGGGGACTGAGCTCCTCGTCCGACTCTGTCATGACGACATGGAGTTCAGGTTTCAGAACCTAGAGCAATTGAATATTGCTATCGATATGGGTGACAGTCTATAAGAATTCAGCTTTAATTCAGCTAAGAAGGCAAGTGTCTAGCGCCATGGAATTTCGGCCCTAACGGTCAGGTCTTCTTGTTGGACGTCAAGCGCGGAGGTTGTTCCTTGTTAGCTGTAGGTAAGGAATATGAAATTACATGAAGTAAAACGGTGCTAGGCGGGTGGGCCAGTTGGATGTACTCCAGGGTGGTCAGTGGCTCTGAAGCTGGCCCGGCCGATGCTCTTGCCAGACCGTCTACTAGACCGTCTGGTTTGCGTGTATGCCAGAACTGTTTTTGTTAGTGACCACTCTGCTTTCACTCAAACCACTGACGGTTCGCTATTTATTACGCTTTTGCCTTCAGCCGACTTTGCCAGTTGCTCCAAATATGGGTTGTAGCTTACCTGGAGCTTGCTCATCGCTACCTTGCAGTTTGCATTAGGCAAGTACTGCCCACTATAGGCTTACTGCAGTTGTTTTCTCCGCGTCGCATTTGTCGTAGAAGTCGCCAACTCCATGCCTGCTCGCATGAGGTACTACTAGATACCTTACGACCTTGATATTTTCAGCAGTAGTGCCTTTGAGAAGAAGGGCGCTACAAGGGACAAACCTTTAGCTGCAATGCCCGAACTATAAGCACGGCTTGCTTTGCCGCATCCAAACGTTAACAATGCTGAGGCGTTTCGGAAGCAGCCGTGACAAGTCCGATATGGTCGGATTGCTGTTACTTACCTTGTTGGTGGCAAGCTTACAGGCGTACTTGAGTAAGTGCGGGCTGATAATACGATCGAGTTGTATTATTGTATAAATGCTGCATTAATTCCTCCAGCTCAGGCGGGATATCCTTCGGGATGTTATCCCTTCGGACCTAAGGATTAATCGTCGGGACCTGTCCTAAACCCTTGATTAGCGCTTTAACGTGTTTGAAATACCCGACATAGCAATCCTAAGGGGGTTTTCAAGTATTATCCGGATTGTATATTAAAACTAACTTCCACCCTCTACCTGCCAACTGTGCCACAACCAGGTGACGCGGCAAACATAGCCCTGAGGAAGAAAACATACGCCTCCTCGATCTTCAGCAGCAGTTATAACAGCAGTTACGCCGTTGATGGTGCAGTGAGCAAAACTGCAGCCTTCTTCATGTCAGCTGGTGATGTGGACACGGATCCTTGGTTTTCTGTTGACCTTGGCGGTCTTGCCAATATTACATCCGTGTCCATCTACACCCGCTGCGATTGCTGTGTTAATCGCACAAGGAATGCGGAGCTACGTATTGGCAATGCCAGCATTACCTCGCGAGAGGACAATGTTAATTACAACAAGATGGTAGCAAACGGGATTGCTCCGGATAGGTTGTGCTCGCCGTACAGTATTAGCATGTTAACTGAGACAATTGGACGATGGGTAACATTTCAAAATCACAATCCTGATTGCACTGGTATAGAATGTGCCCTGCAGATCATCGAGTTACAAGTCTTTGGCACTGTCGGTAAGCATGTTGGGACGGCGGGGTGTTGCAGCGGTACTTTACCAGGTGCTGCAGAACCATGCATGTACATTTAACAGGGCGTTGCTTTAAGAGTGCCATACTACTAGAAAGCAGGTCGGTTACTAGCTACCTTTATGTCATGCATGCCCGATTTCGTTGCCTATCTAGCCGCCGTTGATTGGACAAACTATTCTTTGTTTGCGTACCAGGGGGGGGGGGTACCCATCAGGTTTATATATAAACTTTATATATATAATTTATATATATCAGGTTTATTTCCAGTCCTCATGTTAGGATTTTGAAAGCTGTATTGCCATCCTTTCTTCGTTTCTTATACGTAGAATTAGTTCTATCAGCAAAATGGTCACTTCTCGGCTTCCGATGTTCCAATGACACGTCACCTCTGAACCCACTCTGGGGAATACCCCCCCCTAAATCTTCGTATGCGTATTCGTATTTTTGGGTTATGGAAACATTCGTTTACGCAGGGGGGGGGTAGGAAACGCGAGGACAGACCCCATGATTTAAAGTTAAAGAGCTTATTGAGAGCATTCCAAATCTGCTTTCAGAATTTTAATTGGAGTTGTACGGAAAAAGTTATCTGCGCCTAAAGGTGACTGTACGGCAGGGTGGGTGGGTGGGGTCTGGGGGTCCAGTGGGTTTTTTCCGAGGGCTTCCTAACTTTTTCCTGGCGATGCCAAACTCACTATGAAGTAAATTTATACGATAAACATACTGTAAGCAGTCTACAAACGCATGTTTTCCTCTTCCTGATATGGTTTGGGCATGGCATGATGACATACCACGCATGGGTGGTCAGAGAGATACCAAAACACATATGGGTCGGTGGGGGGCAGGCAGGGTGCGGGTCCGGGTGCCTCCACTTAGGGGGGAATCACCCGCAGGTGGTCTGCCCAGCCAAGCAGAAGGGGGCCGGGAAGTTAACCATGTGACACGGCTCCCCTATGTGCTGCATCTATCTCTGGGGTGGGGTTGAGGGGAGTAGAACGGGGCAGGTCTCTCGGCAGCAGCTGCGTCACCTGTGCCAGCCGCTGCACGTTGTCTGAGCCCTGCTAATCCTTGCTGGTAACCCGTCAGCTTCGCAGACACGAGGGCTCGCCCAAAAAAACGCGTTTTCCCTATGGCGGCAGCTTGCGTACTGAGCGTGTATGTAGGTGGTTGTTGTGGTGTTGTGGTGGCTGCGAACGCCACTTGTGGGTTGTTATTCTCGAACTGCCTCGTAGAATGAGGAAGCCCTTCCCTAATGTTGCTATGTGATGTGTGTGGATCAAGGTTCTGAGCGCAAACACACGCATCCGCAAACAATGCGTGGTTCTGTCTGAAATGTTCGATTGCGGTTCTACGAACAACGGCCACAGACACATTCTGTGCACGTTGCTCAAACAACAACCAGCAAAATGCGTTAAAAAACAATCGCCAGAACGGTAGGGAACAGGATTCCGCCTGAGCCCATGTTGGTGAAGTGACGCATCGTAAGCTGCAAACGAATACGTACTTTGCTCCACTTCCTGGAACGATGCAAAGGGAACGGATCGGAACGGAACTGAACGGAACGGAACGTAAACGATTGTGATGGACGTGACGATCTTCCACTTGTTGCCGCGCGCCTGGTTCTGAAACGACGACTACCATGTTACCGTTAAGTCATAAACACTGTGCGAAGAGTGTGCCTTACTTCTTAAATCGACCATCAAGGACATTTAGTTATAACATAAACTCTGTTATACTGTGTTGCAGCCTAGGTAAAAGGGTTGTCAAGGTATATGTGTATGTATTTCTCTCTGGTCTGTACGCTCTACAAGTTAACAGTGGGGTCATCTTTGATCTTTCACCCCAACCGCTATCAATATTTATACGACACGCTTTTCGAGTATTTCCTTACTCCTGCAAAACCATTTCAGCTTATGAACATATCATTAGCGTCTGCTATAGGTAACTATGCTGGTCCTGTCGGCAAACTGAAGACCCGCATGTCGCTTGGCGTTGCTTTGCTTCAGAAATTACATTCACGAAAACGTCTTTGACACAGCTTTACAACATAACTATTATTTACGCAAATGATACTCTCTGTGCTGGTACATACACGAGGTACAAAAGGACTGTTCACGGTACTGTACACGGTACAAAAAGGACACAAGGTCTCGGTCTGGACAATTAGGACCGAACGCTAAGACTACGCCCCATAAAGGGGCGAGCCAATTGCTGGTCTTGACGCAGTAGCGCGTGTGTTCAAATAATTGGCCGCGAGGCGAAACGTACTAGCGCGTGTGTATGAGGCTAGTGTACAACGGTGCACCCGTTGCTGTCTATAGGGTTGGATGGCGTGACCATGGCATGGCGCGAGCATGGCATGACTTAGTAGGTGCAAAAGCTCAACAAGTTATATATACAGAAAGATGACACTGAAAGGAATCCATTGGTCATTTTTGCGTCTTTTTTGGCGTACGGCAAAACGAGAAATTAGCGTTCGAAGTTCTGTAGGGTGGGTGGGTGGGTCCGGGAGGGGTCGCCACCAAAAATTCATCATGGGGTTTACCAAAAATAAATGTACCCCCCCCCTGGTTTACGTATACGTTTTTTTTGCCCATTTTTACGAAGGCCCCAATACGAAGTTCGTAATTGGGTCGTAAAATGAAGTTCGTTTGCTCTAGTTACCATTCGTTAAGTGCGAAAGAAGGATGAGAAAACTGCATACGAAGGGTCATTTACGAACAGATATTGCAGAAGACGAGCTTCGTTTACTTTATGGTTCACAGGCTAGCTACACAAAATGGCAGTCGTAATAAGGGTGGGCAACATAGTATGAATGACAGAATGCCGCCGTGGCAAGTGTTGAAGGCACATTATACGCAATTCGTACCAACGTGGAAGAGCTCCGTCCACTACATACGAGCTTCGTATTGTATGCCGTTTATGGAGTGCGTATATCTCTGGAAGGAGACCGTTCGCTTGATATGAACGTCGTATTATGTCAACCGCAGGAGCTTCGTACCCATTCACCTTACAAATACAACATTCGTATGGTATCAGAAGGCAGGTAAAACTAGGTTAGCATTGCTTAAAGAACGAACTTCATAACCTACCCCAGACCACGAAACCTGGTTTGTTGGAACACTTGCTGTCCCATGTTGGGCCTCCAGCAATAAATATAGGTGTTTTCCTATGCATTCAGAAGTGTTGTAGAAAGGTGCAACGTAGTACAAGGCGTGCGGCACTAGGCGTGTTGGTGGCCTTTTTGCTGCCGTACAGGCGGGGGCAACTTTATTTAGGGTTTCTTGCCTATGTACTGCAGATTGCGTCTGCGTCGTTGCTTCTTTGAAATGACCAATATTGGCTTCGTATTTTGTGGAAGAAGTCCGGTCACTTCGATATGAATGTTAAACATGGGAATTTAAAGAACTTCGTATTTTTTTTACCCAAGCGACGAAGTTCGTATGTTATGATCTTGTTTCTCTTCTTTAATGGACTGTAAGCACGCTCACTTCTTAGCAGCATTGGCTGGAATGGTAAGTAGAGCGATATCGCTGTGTTTCTGACACGAAGGGGTGAGGTGGGCTTTCATGTGGGGGTCGCGTTCGTCTACGTAATCAATACGAAAAATATGCGCACCCATTCAGTGGCGTTCGTCTTCATACATTTTACAAATTTCGTCTTGAGTTGACAACTGGAAGTCACCCGCCATGCTGTTTCCCTTCGTGTATACACTTGCATGCAAAGGATTGTCACACGTACGGTATGAGGTGCCGGCACTGGCAACCCTCAGGTGCATACATGTAACCTTCGTATCTGCAAATGCCGTTTACGAACGCTTAAATACGAATATCATGGCATACACACACGGGTGGATTTGATGCCCAAAATAAAGTCACGTGTCAAGTAGAAGGTATGAAACCAGTAACCTAGCGCCAAGGTTTCACATAAGGCGCCCAAACGTATATTCTTTCGTATACGTATGTTCGTAAATGGATAAGGGATTGGTACGAATGTGAAATACGCTCCATTTGGCGTTCGTATAGCCCATTTCGTATACTTTACGAGCCTTGGCGAATATACGAATACGAGGCGTTCCCAGAGTGACCATGGTAGCCGAACGGAACTGCCCAATCCCCAAACGTACAAGAAAAACCTTATGTAGAAAGCATACATTGCGAACATTAAGGCCTAGCATAGCAGCATGTCGCTTGTCCCCATGGATGTGGAACACGACTGAGGAGGCGGGATGGGAGTAGACAGACTAAGCTGCGAGGAAGCACTCACAGTGACCACGAATGGGGTGGGGATGCAGAGCACAGAAACAAGAAGGCGTGGCGATTGGTGCCAGGGGCTATGGTCGAGGGCCCAGGGGGAAGAAGAGGCAGGAGCTAGCAGGGACCTGGAACGTGGTGGCGGCGTTGTCTCGATTGGTGAAAACAGAACTAGCGGTGGTATGGCGCAAATGGAAGGGCCGTGGTGCTTCCTAGGTGCCAAATACATAACATCAGTCAAGTCGGGGCCAAGAACATGGTTACCTTAGCCATTAACTTCCCAGGGGGTTTGGGGTTTTTCGACTGCATTTAATAGAGCTTGCGCAGAGGAACCTAGACGCTTTGCATGTCGTACAATGTGTAAACTTCGCCAAAACGCCCGGGAAAAAAGCTGCTAGACTCCTCTGCTTAAGCTCTATTTAGTGCTAAACAAATACCCAGAACCCCCTTGGGAGACGGGCAGAAAACTACCACCGCCACGTCCCCGACCCCGGCCCCTTCCTCCTCTTCCCCCTGTCACGCCACGCCTTGGACCACTACCCACGGCGCCACTTCCCACATCCACGTCATTTTGCATCCCTCACTCCATTCCCTCGTCTGCTGCTGCTGCTACACCCGGTGCTTTCGTCGCTGCCGTGCTGAAGCACCTGCGAACCCGCGAACCCCGAACCCGCGGAATATCCCCTTTACAGCCGCTGCTGCTCTTGAGTGCTACAATGTGACACAACCTGTCGCGCTTAAGAACTGAGTGGAACTTCTCCCTGATCACTGCGAGCAGCTCCGTCAGCTGTTCATCGGGGTGGGCGTGCTGCAGATGATCCGGGTAGTTGTACCACACGCTCCACATGACCTTCGTGATACAATGCACATGCACATGCGGTGCACACAACTAGACGCATTCGCGACCTCCGCATCTGCTTCTTTCTCTAGACGTTGTTTCTTATTTGTTAAGGCAAGTTGGGAATCAGGCGGTTCCATTTGAGCTACTGTAGTTCAGACCTGAAGCGTCATCGGACCCATGAGAAGCTGAAAAATGTACCTTTTGTTGCTGTAACTAGTTCGATACATAAGAGATGAATGAAGAAAGGAATACAATACAGCTTTTAGAACTCTCACCAGAGGCCTGGCAAAACAGTTCCGACGTTTCATCTAAAAATGTCGTTGAGGCTCCGGACCCACCCACCCACCCCTGCCGTACGACCAACTTTGCAAGCCCGTAATTGTTTCATTACAACTCCAAACAGAATTCTGAAAGCGGATTCGGAATCCCCACGCTAAGCTCCTTGAATTTGGATCTTGGGGTCTATTTTTGCAGTTACTACCCC